TGGGCAGGTACAGCGTTCTGTACTGAGTGTTTGCTGGATCTTCACAGCAATCCTGATCTGTGTCCCTGCCCACAGTGACTCGGCTGGCCCGGGCATGGCGGACCCAGTGGCGAGCATCGCGGGTTCCGCGGCAAAGAGTGTGCGGCCTTTCCGCTCCAGTGAGGCCTATGTGGAGGCCATGAAAGAAGACCTGGCAGAGTGGCTGAACGCCCTGTATGGCCTGGGTCTGCCTGGCGGTGGTGATGGCTTCCTGACGGGCCTGGCCACAGGCACAACCCTGTGCCAGCATGCCAACGCTGTCACCGAGGCTGCCCGTGCTTTGGCTGTCACCCGCCCGACCCGAGGTGTGGCCTTCCAGGCACACAGCGTGGTTCCTGGCTCCTTCATGGCCCGAGACAACGTGGCCACCTTCATCGGCTGGTGCCGCGCAGAGCTGGGCGTGCCGGAGGTGCTCATGTTCGAGACGGAGGACTTGGTGCTGCGCAAGAACGAGAAGAGCGTGGTGCTGTGCCTGCTGGAGGTGGCGCGGCGCGGGGCCCGCCTCGGCCTGCTGGCTCCCCGCCTCGTGCAGTTCGAGCAGGAGATTGAACGGGAGCTGCACGCTGCACCCCCCAGCGGCACCCATGCTCCCACTGCTGGGGACACCGAAACCACCACTGCACCAGGGACTTCCACTCGTGGACCCCGCATGACGCCCAGTGACATGCGCAACCTGGATGAGCTGGTGAGTCCTCCCAGGGGCATACCCAGCATCCCATCTCTGCCTGCGCCCCACACCGGAACCAGGTGGCGGAGTCCATGCTCACTACCTGTCCCTGCCTATCCTGGTGTCTGTAGGTCGGCCTACCCAATGCAAAGTGTGCATATGTTGAATGCCAAGTGTATACCTGGGCCCAAGGAAATGGCTAGGCCCATAGTGGGAGGGGTGCTGGGTCCGAGGCCACACAGTGCAGCTGGGCCTGGGACAGGATTCTGCACCTTGGCATCTCCCCAACATTTCCCCCAGCCCCTTTGGTGCTGGGGATGGAATCCCATGCTTTTTGCATGCTTTTTGCCACTAAGCTAAGTCCCCAGCCATGATTTTCCCTCCTTTTAGGTGCTAAAGCTGTACTAACCATGTGCTGTGTGTTCCTTCAACTGGGGGCCTCTTGACTTGAGCACCCCCTCAGTGCCCTCCCCACACTCGGGAGCTAGAGGTGCATCCTCAACCAAGGTTGAGCGGCTGCTGCACTTGGCTGCGATGAGGTGTGCAAAGCCCTCTGCAAGGTGCCTGGCGCATAGTAGGCACTCAGTGAGCGCCTGGCCCTTCTCTGGGAAGCCCAGCTGCTGCTGCTGGGAACAGGAAGTCCTGATGGAGCTGCAGGAGTCCTGCTTGGAGCATAGGAGGTGCTGGGCAGTGTTCCCAGCCACCCCCCTCCTTTCCCAGGGCCTAGGTGTCCCTGCCACCCCCGCAGCTGAGCCAAGAGTTTCCTTTTTATCTGGAGGTTAGGACTGTGCTGTGCCTGCCCAGGAGGCGGGCAGCCGGATGGCCGTGGGCAGAGGCATGTGCCCCACCCCCGGCCTGGGCCTGGGTCACCCAAGGCCCCACCTGCTCATTTCCTCCGGCGCCGCTGTGGGCAGGGAGGCGGGCAGGGCCTCCCACACAGCCAGCCTGGCAGCTCCAGGCCTGGAGTGACATGTGTGCAGCATGTGCTTTGCCAGGTCAGTGGCCTGTGTGTGCATATTGGTGTGTGCATGTGTCCCACGCGTCTGTGGCACTCCCCCACACCAGTGCTCAGCCAGGCACAGAGTGCCCTGCACTTGTATCCCATGATCTGCCTCCTCCAGGGCCTGGCCTTCCTGTGACCTCAGGTCCCTCTCTGTGATGTGGGTGAAGGAGCATTGAGGACGGGTTCCAGGGCTCCCCCAGGCTTAAGGGCTTCAAGGATGTTCCTCACTGGGGTTCTACACCCCCACCTGATGACAGTTCCATCATCTCGTCCTGGTCCGCTTTCTGGGCCCTGGGGGCCAACCAGGGGAGCTGGTCATGTTTGGAAGCTGCACCCATGTCTGGGGCAACAAGTCTCCAACCCCCATTCCCCGGAAGCACTTACTTCCTCCTGACCCTGGAGCTGCTGACAGTAAGCCCTGAGAGGAGGGACTTGACCCCTGACCTCCAGCCTGTCCTCTCTGGCCCTAGGTGAGGGAGATTCTGGGCCACTGCACTTGCCCAGACCAGTTCCCCATGATGAAGGTCTCTGAAGGGAAATACCGAGTGGGAGACTCCAATGTGCTCATCTTCGTGCGGGTAAGGGTCCCCAGCTGCCAGCTGCAACCATCCTGGTGGGCTGTTAGACCCAGGAGCTGCAGCCATGACCTGCCCACTCTGGGCCCCCACAGGTGCTGAGAAGCCACGTGATGGTACGTGTGGGTGGTGGCTGGGACACACTGGAGCATTACTTGGACAAGCATGACCCTTGCCGTTGTTCCTCCACTGGTCAGTGCCTGGGGCTGGGTGGACAAGCAGGGGCTCCCTTCCCTGGCTGTATCCCTCACATGTCATCTGTTCTCTCCCCCCACAGCCCACAAACCTGCCCAGCCCAGAGCCTGGACCTTCTCCCCCCAGAGGGTGTCACCCACCCCTAGTCCCCGGCCTGGTAGCCCAGTTCCCGTTCCCGGGGGTGAGCGCCGGGGCTCTCGGACTGAGGTTACTTTACGAAGCACAAAGGAGGGGGCCCAGACCCTGCCCAGGTGAGGTGCAGGAGGACATGGGAAGGAGCGGCTGGGGTGGGGGTGGGGCTTCCGCCCTGGCCCGGATGACGGAGTTGCCTTCCTTCGGCTCCAGAGTGACTCACACCCTGGGAAAAGTTCCCGTGGGTGGGGGTGGGCCTGGCTTCCCGTCTCCATGGCAACCCGACCAAACCAACAACACAGCTGGGGTGGGCCCTGGAGGTTGGGCAGCGGCCAGTCCAACCAGGCTTCCTCTGGCCGGGCCTGGGGAGGGGCCATGGGGGCCATGCAGACCTCATTTCTTCCGCTGCTGTGTTGGGGCTCTGAGTGGCCGCAGGAAGCTGCTGTGGAGCCTCTCACTTCTCCCTGGAAGTCCCCAGGACAGACAGATGCCTTACCACTCCCACCAGCACTCCCTTGGCTGTGCCACCCACCTGCCTTGCTGTCCCTCTCCTTGCCCCTTATGCGTGCGCGCCAGTGATGCCCCATCTCTCTCTCTTGTTCCCTTGCCCCAGGGCCCGGGATCAGCTGCCCCCCATTCCCCGCTCCCGCCGCTACTCGGGGGACAGTGACTCCTCAGCCTCCTCAGCCCAGAGCGGCCCCCTGGGTGCCCGCAGTGACGACACAGGCACTGGCACCCTCCGGAGGGAGCGGTCCAGCAGGCGGCTGACCACAGGCACCCCGGCCTCTCCGAGACGGCCGCCTGCCCCTCGCAGCCAATCCCGAGACCGGCTGGATCGGGGACGGCCCCGGGCTGCCCCAGGCGGCAGAGGAGCCCAGCCGTCCGCCCCCAGCTCTGCCCGCCGGGCCCGCAGCCAGAACCGCGAGGAGCAGGCTGTACTGCTAGTGCGCAGGGACCGAGATGGGCAGCACTCCTGTGTGTCGCGGGGAAGGGGCGGCGGGGGCTCAGGCAGGAGCACCCCCCAGACTCCCCGTGCCCGCAGCCCTGCAGCGCCCCAGCCTCTCCAGGTCTCCAGCCCGGGGCCAGAGTTGGGCGCCACACCCGCCAGTGTCTTCCGCACACCTCTGCAGCTTGACCCGCAGCAGGAGCAGCAGCTGTTCCTGCGCCTGGAAGAGGAATTCCTGGCCAATGCCCGTGCCCTTGAAGCTGCTGCCAGCGGGACTCCCACCGGACTAGCCCCTGACCCGCCTCGGCCCCCAGATCCTCCCGCTCCCGACTCGGCCTACTGTTCCTCCAGTTCCTCCTCTTCATCCCTCAGCGTCCTGGGTGGCAAGTGTGGCCAACCAGGGGACTCAGGTCGGACAGCCAATGGGCTGCCCGGGCCCCGTAGTCAAGCCCTATCCAGCTCGTCAGACGAAGGCAGCCCCTGCATTGGCATAGGGGGGCCTCTAGAGGCACCTGGGACCCCCCTGGCTGGCCCAGAACCCTCGCGGGTCTGGGCACGGGGTCGGATGGACACACAGCCAGACCGTAAACCCTCTCGCATTCCCACACCTCGCGGCCCCCGACGCCCTTCTGGACCCACGGAGTTCGGGGCCTGGCCAGCCCAGCCCTCTATCACCCCAAGGGCCGAGCCAGATTCCTGAATGTGATGAACCAGCCCATCCGCTCCCCGACCCCATTCCTTCTCCTTTTCCTTGGTGGCCTTAACCTACCCTCTGCATCAGGGAGCCCCCTCGCCTCCTGAGTACCAGACCTCATGGGACCAGACCCCTCGGGACCACAAGGCACAATGGGACCTCTGTTGTACATTCCGGTTGGGGGATGAGCGTAGCTATTTAATTACTAATATTATTGAATGCCTTAGGGGAGGCCGGGCTAGCCCGGTGTCCCGAGGACCTATGGTCCAGCAGAGCCTCTGACAGTAAAGTTTTGCTCCGCAAACTCTGTTTCTTGGAGACTCAGCCTTGGAGCATCGCACCCCTTTGACAGTCCTCAAGTTGGGATTCTGGAGTTAATTGCCAAGGGGCCAAGCTTGGTAGCTCTAGTCCAAAATCAAGTTTCTGTCTTGCCCATCCCAGAACAAAAATCTCAGGTGTACTTTGTTTCTTTTTTATTACCTCCAGAGAGGCGGGACTTAGGGATTGTGTCCAATGAGGCGCTAGGAACAGTTCGATCTCCCAATCAGATACATAGCCAAGTCCTTTCCATCGGCTGTGACCCAATGAGGCCCCAGAAAGGATTGATCTTGTCCAATGGGGCGTTGGGCCCCAGTGTAGTTCAAAGAGAGGCCGGTCGCCCAGGAGACTAGGTGGGAGTTTTCCTTATCCAATCAGGGAGGAGATTTCTCTGTCCAATCCGAGTGAGGTTGGGCAATCTTGTCCAATCCGGTCACATGAGGATACAGCGCGCTGGATGCAGCGCCCCCTGCAGGCGCAGGGCTGGATGTGCAGGACGTGCGCGTACCAGAGCACAGCGCAAAAGCTCGCGGAAGAGACGCAGCACGTGCCAGTTGTACTTGGCGGAGCATTCGAGGTAGCCACAGCGCCAGCCCCTGCGCACCAAGGCGGCCAGTGCACGCCGAGGACCGAAGCGCAGCCGCTGCCGGTCCCGCTTGTTGCCTACCACGAGGATGGGTGCCTCGGGCGCTCCCGCCGGCCTGGGGCCAGGATTGGGGATAAGAAACACGGTGCTGGAGACCCCACAGCCAGAGAAGCCCCTTATCCCCGCCCCAAGAATCTACACACACAGGTGCATTCTTTCCTATGGCCAGAGACCTCCAAGAAATACCAGGCCTGTGTGTGCCAAAGACTTATGTTAGAGACCTTCCTACAGCAATGACCTGATCCTGCAGCCCCTATCTCACTCCCCTCGGGCAAAGGCCTGGCCCAGTCAGGCCGCTCTCCCCACCACCACCTCCTGCCGCGCCCCCACCTGGTCTCCGCGATGCGCTGCCGCAGGGCCTTCACGTAATCGAAACTGTCCGGGCTGCAGATGTCGTAGACGAGCACGAAGGCGTCCGTATCCTGCAAGCTCCAGTCTTTAGAGTCAGGACATTCCTGGGGGCGGGAGGCCAGGGTTTGCGGAAGCCGCTTTCCCACCCTGCTGCCCCTTAACTCTGCAGGCGACACTAAACCCACAGTTCATTTTCAGGCCTTGGTCGCTCATCCCCATCTCTAAGCGCCCTCCTCCAAGCTTCCTGGGCCTTACCCTCCTTATGGTGGTGTCCAGTGTAAATTTCTCCAACCATATCTGGAGCCTGTCGTCCACCAGCCCTCCTTCAACCTTGCCTTCCTTTCCTGTTCCCTCGCTCCCATATTCCTTTTCTTCCTTCCAGTCTCCCCCAGCTCAACTACAGTCGGGCCGCTCCCCTCCTTAGCCGCCCTCGCAGGCTACTATTGCCTGTCAAGACTTAATTGCCAAGCCCAGGGTCCTGGAAACCCGCCTCCCTCCAGAGCCCCAGACCACCCGTCAGCCGCAGCCATGCCCACTACTGTTCACTCGGAACCTACTGCTGTTCTTTCCACCTCGAATGCACTTTGCACTTTACCCAAAACCCCACTCAGCCTTCCAGGTTCAGCTCGGTTCCATCCGCTTCAGGAAGTCCTGTTTAATCCTGGCTTTTTCCTCTGAACCTCTCGGACATTCACTCCAAAGACTGGAGAGCTGGAGTTAGCACAAATTACTAAATGTCTTTGCTCCAGGTCACAGGAATGAGGGAGCAAAGAATTACCTCCTTTAGGAAGTATATCCCTGTGCCTGATTCCAATCTCTCCCACTGCTCAAGGCTCTGCTCAAGGATCCAGACACAGCCACAGGACCGTGCAGCGACACGCGCTGGTCCAGTCCCACCAATGGAGGTAGGCAAAGATAGAAACACCCACGGCAACAAGAGAAAGCCTTGGCTAAGTCGCGGGGTTTAGGTCCCGAGCTCCTCCAGATGGGCGGAGAGGGCTCAAGTCCAATACCGGGACACACCATTTTTTCTTCGATTCCTTAACATGGTCAGGAGCCCTGAGACCATCCACGTGGACACGCACGTGTGCAGCAAGCCCACATACACTCCTTACACTGTCACACGCCCCTGCCCACCACTCACGCCGCTACCTCGACACCTCCGGGGCTCGGGCCGGGGCCAGCGACGTCGCCGTCGCGGATGCTCAGGTCGTAGACAGCGCCGTCGAGCAGCACCGCGGGCCGATAGAGGCGGGGCCCGTCCGTGGGTCGGTGGCGTTCGGGATAGTCGCCAAACAGGAACTGGCGGATGATGGCCGTCTTGCCCACTCCTGGAGCGCCCAGAACGGCCACCCGCAGGCTGCCCCCCATGGCCGGCCCGCGCTGCCGCGCCCCGCGCCGGAAAGCTTCATGGGCCGGCGCCGCGCCGTGCGCGCCCAGTCGTGCGCCCCGCGCGCCCTGTCCGGTGCGCCCCGGCCCCTCCGCGCTCCTCGTCGCCTCGCTGAGCAGCCGAGCACAGGAGAGGCCGGGCCCAGAGACAGGGCTGGCGGCGGGAGGGCAGACAGCCGAGCAGGCAGACAGTGGCGGACGCACTAGCAGCTCGGGCGAGTGCCAAAGCTCGGGAGAGAACAGACCCGGAGCGCCGCGCGCAGACACCGCCTCCGCCGGCAGCGCCAACCGCGGCGCCGCCGGGCAGCGCGGGGCCCCGAGGTCCGACCCCCTCGCGGCACGGGTTCGGCAGCAGCGCTGCCTCTCGGCGCTTCGGCCCCTCTGTCCTCTCGCACCAGCGCCGGGAGTCACCGCCCCGGCCGCGACTGGAGGCGCGAGCAAAGGAGCCAGCGGGGCCTCCCGGAGACAGAGATGAGGTAACCGCCCGCCCCTCCCACCCCCTACCCTCCCGGGACGCCCCTCCCGGGAAGGGTCGTGGGAAGGTGACTGGAGGACCGGGAGCCCGCTCCAAAATAGAAGCCCCTTCCCGCCCGCCCCCTTCTCGTCCTCTGCTCCCAACACTGCTCAAGCAGGCTCCTGACAAACCCTGGCCCACTGGAGTCTGGCCGCCCAGGGCGCGGATCAGGTCCCAGCTGTGACCTTGGAAGAATCGCTGTACTGTGCTGGGTCTCTGCTCTGCATCCATCAAAGGCAGACACCTCCAAGGGCTTTTGCTGCTTCCGAGAATCTACCAAGTGCCAGACCCTTTTCCAAGCTGTTCCTTACTTGATCCTTAAATCTTCAGCCTCAACCCTGGTATCTCCATTTGAGGGAAGAGGAAACTGAGGCTGGAGTGAGAAATCCCCAGGGTTAGAAGGGAAGTGGGGCCCCTAGCTGTCTGGTGGCCTTGCTGTCTTCTCTGAGGGACCTGCCACCTTCCTCTCACCCACAGGGGTAAATTGGACAATATATAAATATTGTAAAACAGCAGCCCGGCAGGGGAGGAGGGGACAGAGGGGACTGAACCCAACACACACTGAGTCACAGCAACTCAGCCCCAAATCCCTGCCTCAACAAGACTGGAGGTAAATAAATAAAGGTCCAGAAATTGGCCAACACCACCTGTCACTGCTAAGGCCATTTCCTTCGGGAACTTCCACCTGTAGCTTCCCTCAAAGGACAGTAACATCCTAATCAGACTTCCAGAGCCCAAATCCCCCTCCCTGGAACTGGACAGGAAGTTCCTACTCCCAGTTTGCAAAGTTGCATTTGCTGAGCTGCCCATTCCCTGGCTTTGCACCCCTCTCCACTACACTGAGGGACTCTGACATCTCTGCCCTCTGCCAGGTACTGAGGTGAAATGCACAGATGTCTGGTTTCTACACTGACCAAGGATTTCATTTACTTAACAAATATTAAAAATCTTACTGTTTGTCAAGATGCTGGCATGGATTCTTTCTGAGGGAAAAGCAGGGGCAAGTTCTGGGAATTGAACCCAGAGAGGTTTTACCACTGAGCCCCATCCCCAGCCCTTTTTATTTTTTATTTGAGACAGGTCTCACTGAGTTGCTTAGGGCCTCACCAAATTGCTGCGGCTGGACTTGAACTTGGAATCCTTCTGCCTCAGCCTCCCAAGTTGCTGGGATTACAGGCATGTGCCACTGCACCTGGCTGCTGACATGGAGTTTTGAAGGAGAGTGGGGGAGAGGAGGAGGAGGAGGAGAAGTAGAGCATGGACAATACACCCTCCCCAGCCCAGGGAAAGGTGGAGGAGCACGGAGGCGATCCTCCCGGGAGCAGGTGGGGCAACCTCAGAATGTTTCTCTCAGTGGCAGTGTTTTTGTCTCCCACGCTGGAAGAGGGCCTTAGCCTGATTTCACTTCTCTCCTCAACCATGAGAGAGCTCAGCCCACCTCTGGCAAGGATTCTAGTCTTCAAGTTCAGTGAATAGGGACGGTTGGCTTCATATTTTTTCATAGTGTTTCCCTTCACTCGATATCCCTTTTTACATTTTTTTCTTGTGAATTTAAAAAATTTTACAGCTTCTGAATTTTGTGAGCTGTTTCCCTTCCTTTGGGGAACAAGGCAGGGAGTTAATAAGTTTACCCACCCCCAACCTTTCTGGTGGACACTGGGCGGGTCTTGATTAAGAATTTTTTTAGGGCGTGCAGGGGGAAGGCTTGGGGGGGATTGAACTGAGGGGCCCTCGACCACTGAGCCACCTCCTCAGCCCTATTTTGTATTTTATTAGAGACAGGGTCTCACTGAGTTGCTTAGAGCCTCGCTCAATTGCAAGGCTGGCTTTGAACTCTATCCTCCTGCCTCAGCCTCCCTGAACCGCTGGGATCACAGGTGAGTGCCCCACTCCTTTCTTCCTTTTCTGATGGAGTGCCCTCTTCCTGGGCAGTGATTCTCTGAGAACTCCAGGCAGGGCTCTGTACGTGGCACCTCTGAGTGCCCTCATGGCTTCTTGGCCCGTGCTTATGGAATGATGGACACTATGGACTGGGAAGGTCCCAGGGCTCCCACAAAGTTCTGCACAATCTTCAGGGGTGTCACCTTCCCTAGGGACTCTCCTGTCAGCATCAGTAGCAGAATTCCCAGTTCCTCAGGACTGTGATGTGCAAGCCCTGACCCCAGAGTCGCTTGCTCATTGAGACTCAGAGAGCAGTGATTGGCCTGAGCTGATCAGCAGGAAAGGAGATTATAAAGAAGCCCCCTGAGAAGCCCAGCTTCACCCGAGCCCAGGGGCCAGAGGGGCTTCTAGAGGTGGTCAACTGGAATCTTTGGCCCTTTGGAGACTCATGCAGACTGTTCTGAGCTGTCATGGAGTGGGCGATCCTGTGGCAGGCTTCGCGAAGACCAGCAAGTTGGACGGCTGGAGCTGCCTGGGACATGGATTTCTGAGTGTCTCTATTTGGAACTGCGGTGCTGCCGCCTGCTCTTCCACCCCAGCCCCTACTCCACAGTGACCTCCCCGGCCCTCATGTTTGCATCCAGCATTTCAGGGACACCCACCACACACACTTCTCCTTTGACACAGGAGACCTAGCACTGGCCAGTCACTCTTGTCCTCTGTGGCTTCTGAGAGAGACACATCTGCAGCCACGTTCAGAGAAATGGAGACAGGAGCCTTGAGCTGGTGAAGGGCTGTGGGGTGAGGGGTCTCTGGGAGGCACTAGCCTGGCTGGGGGTGATGGGCATGAGAAGGAGCCAATGACACACCTAAGCTTAGCCCTCAAGGATCTACCCAGATGGTAGAGAGGGTTGGGAGTGGGCCTGGGGAGGGGCAGGCACTGGGGGAGAATTTTGCTTCCCCCAGTTCTTTGCCCACAGCCTCCCAACAGCAGCAACCTGGCAGCCTCCCCATTACCTCGCCCCCTCAAGTGGCATCCCCCACAGCTGGCCTGGTTCTGGACACTCCTTGGGCATTGGCCTGGCTCCAATGTTTAATATAAATTTTTGATGTGATTCAAATAAAATGCCATCTTTTAAAACAAATAGTTCTAAAGTACAAATGGGGAAAAAGAGGGTACTCTAAGTTATCAAAACATAAAGGTACTTCTTTGTGGCCTGGCGTGATGCCTGTAATCCCAGCTACTCTGGAGGCTGAGGCAGCAGACTCTCAGCCCAGGCAATTTAGTGAGGCCCTATCTCAAAAATAAAAGTGGCTGGGGATGTAGCTCAGTGGTGGAGGGCCCAGGGTTCAATCCCCAGTAAGGGACGGGGCGGGGGTGGTGGTGGCAGGGAATCTTTTTGAAGAAGGCAGAAACCAAAGAACATTCAAATTCTCTCCAGAACAGAATTCAGAAAAACATCCGAATATATGTGAAAATTCAGTATATGATAAAAATGGCATTTTAAATCTGTGGGGGAATGATGAATTATTCAGTATATGGTGTGGAGACAACTGGTTAACCATCTGGGGGAAAGGGGAAGTTGGATCCCTGACTCCTTCCTACATACAGCCCAGATGGAACAGAGGGAAAGGCAAACACTAGGATCTGACAGTACTAGAAAGAAAAGATCAAAAGGGAAGCCGGGCTGGGAGCGGGGAGGCACACCTGGAGCCCCAGCCACCCCTGAGGCGGAGGCAGGAGGACTGCAAGTTTGGGACAAGCCTGGGCAATTTCGTGAGACCCTGTCTCCAGATAAAAATAAAATAAAGAACTGGGGTGGGCTGAGGTGGTGGCTCCGAGGTAGAATGCTCCTGGGTCAGCCCTCAAATAAAAGGCACAGGGACACTGCAATGAGTGAATAATGGACACACTCTGAGATTCCGGTACAGCACAGAACAATGTGTATTGCAAGCTCTGATTGTATGTAAGAAGGGGGAAAGGAAAACGTATTAGATGCCATTTGGACAGTCATGGTTTCGCTGAATGGGAGAGAAACAGGAAGGAGCCAGAAGGCTTTCACTCCTATCCTTTATTACCTTTTGGATTTTTTTTTCCAATACTGGGGACCAAAACCAGGGCTTCCTACATATTAGCTATGCTTTCCAGCTTCATCTCCAGAACTCCAAGTTAAAATGTAAAATGTGGGGCCAGGTTGTGGCTCAGAGGGCAGAGTGCTTGCCTAGCATGCATGAGGCCCTGAGTTCGATCCCCGGCACCACATAAAAATACACAAATAAAATAAATGTATTGTGTCCATCTACAACTAAAAAAATGTAAAATGTAACTTTCTTATACCTTCATTTTATTTATTTATTTATATGTGGTACTGAGGATCGAACTCAGGGCCTTGCACGTGCTAGGCGAGTACTATACCGCTGAGCCACAACCGCAGCCCCTAAAGTGTGAACGTTTGATGAGACCATTCTGGAGCTCAATCCCACAGCTGCATTTGTACCCATGAGCAAGGATGTATGTGGGAGGGTGCTGGCCTGCAGCACTGCTGGGACTTGCAGAAGACAGGAACAGCCTGCATGTCCATCCATCACAGGGACTGGCTAATGGTGGCCCATTCATCCGCGGAATACTAATATGGGTCTGACTCCAGAAATTACTGTCAGGGAAAAGCAGGATGGAGAAGTGGCTCCGTGGTAGAGCACTTGCCTAGAACGCCTGGCTTCAACTCCGGATCTCACCCCCCTCCTCTGTCACACACAAACACACACACACACACACACACACGTACACGCGCGTGCGCGCGCACACACACACACAGAACATGCTGGAAGTGTGTAGGTGTGCTACCATTTCTTTGATAAATCTCTCTAGGGATTTGCTTGGACACACATAGACGAGCATCTCTGCAAGGAAAAAAAAAAAAAAATCTAGCAACGTTTTTTTGCCTCCAGGGAAGATGTGACTGAGGAAAGGTGGGAGGGAGAAGTTTATCCTTTGTATGATTGATCTTAAGGCCCTACATCACTTTCTTCCTGAAAACAAACACAAACCACTAATTGAAGATTAAAAATGCCAAAGGAGGG